ATTTATTTATTTGAAAGGCAGAGTTACAGAGATGCAGAGAAAGAGAGAAATAGAGAAGTCTTTCATTTGCTAGTTCACTCCCCAAATGGCAGCAACAGCAGGAGCTTGGTCAATCTGAAGCCAGGAGTTAGGAGCTTCTTTTGGGTCTCCCATGCAGGTGCAGGGCCTCAAGGACTTGGGCCATCTTCCACTGTTTTCCCAGGCCACAGTAGAGAGCTGGATTGGAAGGGAGTAGCCAGGACTTGAACTTGCATCCATATGGGATGCCAGAACTTCAGGCGGTGGCTTAACCTACTATGCCACAGTGCCAGCCCCAAATAAGTAAATCTGAAAACAACAACAAGTAAACAGACCAAATAAATCAAACAAACTGGTGTTATGAAGGGACAAGAGAACAATACTGTAATATTCAAGAAAGAGTTAACAGTCACTAGTGGCAGCATAGAAGGACAGAAGTTGTATTTGATATTTAGTTTGGATATAGAATCCACAAGGCTTGATAATGAATTGGATAAGGAAGGGAAAGGAAGGAATTATGGGAATTAAGTTTCTTACTTAAGCACAAATTAAGAACTAGGTAGCAACCAATGTCCTTAACTGAGATGACAAAAATTCATTGTGGGACATACCCAGAGTTCTGTTTTAATCACAATAACTGAAACAAGCAAATGTAGAAAAATGAGGCTGGAATTCAGAGAGGTGTGGATCAGAAATACAGATTTGGGAATCATTGACATACTGATGCTTTTAGAAATAGTATTTGTTGGCCTATTTGCTTAGGACTGGCGATTCCTAAATTTCAGCAACACAGTTAAAGATAACCTCTTAAGTCATTTCTACATTTGACTAAACTTAATAATTATAATAAAGAATTCATTCCTACCATTTTTATTCTCAAAGGATAACAATCCAGTCTGAAGCCAGGAGCCAGGAGCCTCCTCTAAGTCTACCACCTGAGTACAGGGGCCCAAACACTTGAATCATTTTCTGCTGCTTTCCCAGGCACATTAGCAGGTAGCTTCATTGGAAGTGGAGCAGTCAGGACTTGAACCAGTGCCCATATGTTACATGTGGCGGCTTAACCTACTACACCACAACCCCAGCCCCAAAACCTAACTTGTAAAGGCCCATGTTATGATGAAAAGGGCTGGATTTTCCATTGTGGATTATCATATCTATTTTAATTGTGCTTTCTGCAAGTTAAATATCAGCCATTAGGATGTGTGGCCTTGTTTACTAAATAGAAAGAGTACTAGACTAAAATCATGAGATCTGCATTCTGTCACTATTTAACACAAAGTTTCTACTGCTCGCTATTTAATGGGTTTAAGAGACTATGGAATATTCTAAAACCAATGAAAACAATTTCAAATATAATTGCAAGATTATCATCATTTGCTTACTATTAGGCAGCTGGAAAGCTGGAGTGGTGCTCAGCATAAAGAATGAACCAGAGTGAAGAATCCAGGAGTCTGTTTCTTTCTAGATATCTAATTTTTGTAGAATCCATAATTTGGCTTCTGTATCTATAAAACAAGAAAATCACAGCGATTTCCTTCACAGGTATGAGAAAAAAATAGTAAATTACTATATGCTTTGCAGATATTTCTAGATGAAAAAAGTTATGAAAATGCAAGTGATTATTTGTGTTGATGCTAAGTAGATCTATCCTTTGGAAAATCTGGAAGAGTTTAGCTATCATTGCTTCATGAGTCTTTCTAGTTTCTTAGGGGATCTTAGCTCTCCCTAGAAAACAAACTACTACCTTGAAGAAAGCCTGAAATCTCTTTTTCTTTTTTTGACAGGCAGAGTGGACAGTGAGAGAGAGAGAGACAGAAAGGTCTTCCTTTTGCCGTTGGTACACCCTCCAATGGCCGCCGCGGCCAGCGCGCTGAGGCTGGCGCACTGCGCTGCTGTGAAGGCAGAAGCCAGGTGTTTCTCCTGGTCTCCCATGGGGTGCAGGGCCCAAGCACTTGGGCCATCCTCCACTGCACTCCCTGGCCACAGCAGAAAGCTGGCCTGGAAGAGGGGCAACTGGGACAGAATCCGGCGCCCCGACCGGGACTAGAACCTGGTGTGCCAGCGCCGCTAGGCGGAGGATTAGCCTATTGAGCCGCGGCACCGGCCTGAAATCTCTTTTTCAAGCAGCTGTTTCAGGGAGGTTATACTAGGCACTATGCTGTAAAGGAAAATAAATCTCTTCACAACAGTGATTTAAGACTATTTGCTAAGTATACTAGCACTTCCCAGAGTGGATGCGCAATGAAGCCTAAGACTTTCTGTTTTTGTATGAGCTAATCTTGTTAGGGAGATCGGAGAGATATAATGGTGATTTCCTATGAGTATCTTCTTTTCCTCCTCCATCACTTTTTTTTTTTTTTCTCCTACTTCATTTGGCTTTCCTTTGTATCAGATTTCATTTTCTTAGTAAAACATATTGCTTAAAAACTTAATCCACAGTTTCCCTCTCTTCTCTTAAGGTCTTCCCACTCAGTGATAGGGATTATTACACCCCAAATATTTCTCACTTCTCAAAGACCAAGAGATAGATGGTATACACCAGTGGTTCTCAACTGGGGATGATTTTGTCCCACAGGAGGACATCTGGCAATGTCTGGAGACATTTTGGGTTGTTACAGCTAGTGGGAGGGTACTACTAGCACGTAGTGAAGAGGCCAGGGATGCAGCTAAACATCCTACAATACACAGAACACCACTCCCCACAAATTGTCTTGCCCAACTATCAATAGTGCTGCTGCAGAGAAACCCTGGTATGCACAGATCGCTGAAGATGACTGAAGTCTGGTGGTAGCAATTCAGGATTCTTATCAATTAAGATTTTCAAAGTGGTAAAGGAGCAGCCAGTGGCATCAGAGTGTCTGGACTTAGATTCTAGCTTTCCTGGTTCACTGATTATATGACTATTAAATGCTACAAAAGCAGTTTCCTCATCTGAAAAAAAGGGCTAATGTGTCCAATTTATTACAATGTAAGCTTTTTTTTTTTTCTTTTGGACAGGCAGAGTAGACAGTGAGAGACAGAGAAAGGTCTTCCTTTTTCCGTTGGTTCACCCCCCAATGCCGCTGCGGCCGGCACACCATGCTGATCTGAAGCCAGGAGCCAGGTGCTTACCCTGGTCTCCCATGCGGGTACAGGACCCAAGGACCTGGGCCATCCTCCACTGCACTCCCAGGCCACAGCAGAGAGCTGGACTGGAAGCGGGGCAACCAGGACAGAATCCGGTGCCCCAACCGGGACTAGAACCTGGGGTGCCGGCGCCGGAGGATTAGCCTAGTGAGCCGTGGTGCCCGCCAATGTAAGCTTCTTGGAGACAACTCACAATACTTAGATTAGGGACTGGTATTCAGTAGGAAATACTAAGTACTTGTGGATTGTCTCACACAATTGTTTTGAGGCCTAAGGCAGAGAAATATATATATATTATTTAAATATATATTTATATATGTATCCAGCGCAGGCAGAGGCAGAGGGAAAGAGGTCTTCCATTTGCTGGTTCACTCTCCAGATGGCCACAACGACCAATTTGAAGCCAGGAGCCAGAAACTTCTTCCTGGTCTCCCATGCGGGTGCAGGGGCCCAAGGACTTAGGCCATCTTCCACCTCTTTCTCAGGCCACAGTAGAGAGCTGGATCGGAAGTGGAGCAGCCGGGACTTGAACCAGCGCCCCTATGGGATGCCAGCGCCGCAGGTAGCGGCTTTACCTGCTGTGTCACTGCGCTGGCCCCTAAATGAATTTCAACACCTGCAATCATTGGGAGTTCTGCTTGAGAGTTCTTACAGGAGCTCTCACAACAGAGGCCAACACTGAGATGTTAACTATGTTAAAGACACTTGTGCTACTCCCTTAACTTAATGAGGGAAGCTTTACAGAGGAATTGCCGAGTTTAAAAAATCAAGCTAAGGAAGAGATTTGGGTAACCGATAAATCTACACTAAAGGCTACTTGGTTGGTTACAAGAAAGCTGTCCTCACCACAAAAAAAAAAAAAAAAAAAAAAAAAAAAAAAAAAATCTTCCCATCCAGTCTAGTATGAGAGAACATTGCTTCTTTACCAAGCACAGCGCTAACCTTGCTTGGTCCTCCTTTTCATGTAAGGATCATTAACATACCCAATCATAGAAATACCCGCCTTTCCTGATAGAATCCAACCCAGAGAGAGGCCCTGCTTCCTGGAACCCTCTCCCAAATTACCTAAGAAGCCCAAACATCAAAATTCTTCCTCACCCTCTTCTGCGCTCCCCTCCTTTCAAGGGGACACCAAGCCCAACTGGGTCCGACCATCCGGAGTGCTCTCCGAGGTGCCCTGCCACAGCGAGCGCTCGCTCCCTACAGGGTAGCGGCTCTTAGCTCAGGAGCGACGGCGCGACGCGCCCGGAGCGCAAAGCCGGCTTCGGGAACAAGTACTTCCCGACAGCCGGCCTCCAGCTAGGACGCTTCTCCTCAGGGGTGACTTTTGGTTTACGACTCCCAAGTAGAAAGCTAGCATGTTAGATCTCTCATGGGGTAGACCGAGTTCCTCACTGAGGCGCGTACCTCCCGCTCCAACTCTGAACTCCTCAAATACCACAACCTCCGGGGCCACGTAGGAAACTAAAAGTCCCCAACGGGCTCATGCTGTTATCCACTACCCTAACTCAGGAGGTACGGCCCCGAATTCACCCCAGCGGCAGCGCAGAACTGCCTCCCACGAACAATGCAGAACTCAGCAAAAAGCCGAGGCAAGGGTCACCACTACACGCAATCGAACCTTCCGGCGAAGGCTTCCTCAGATGTCGCGGACCAATTGCAGGGCGGCGGCCGCGCAAGCGCGTGCCTCTTTAGGGAATGACTACAAGTCCCGGCATGCCAGGCGCCGCGGCGTCGCCTGGTAACTCGCGCCACACGGGGCGCGCTAGGCCGGCTCTCCCGTGCGCCTGCGCCGTGGTAGGCTGTGCGCAGGCGCACTTTCAACGCCTGGGCTGAGGGCGGGGTGTCGTTTCCTTCGCTGATGCAAGAGCCTGGTGCGGTGGAGGGAGAGATATCAGCAAGAACCGAGCTGTCGCGGATTCTTGGGGCTGACCCATCCGACTTCCCGTCCGAGCCGAACCCACCCGAGCCGCAGCCATGTCCGGGGACGAGGTGAGGGCCCGAGCGCTAGGGCTAAGGACTGTGGCGGGAAGCCGAACCCACCCGGGTGTGGGAGACCGGGCCTGCGGCCTAGCGGCCGGCCGCCGCCATGTGGGGCAGCTGGGCCTAGGGCGGCCCGGAGCCGTGGAGCGGGCGAGGACTCCCGACCCTCAGGCTCGACCGCACCCCGCTCTCCTCAAGGCGGCGGCGCCAAGGCTGGCCTCCTCCCGTGGCCGGCATGGAGAGCACACGTTGAGTCGTCCTCCCCGAGGGGGCTTGAATGCCGGGTTAGCTCCCCAGCTGAAGCTGATGGGGGCTGGCGACCCTGCGTTCCTTCTTGCTAGGCGTTGTGGCCCTCGCTTGCCCTGCTGGGCATCGGGCTGGCCCAGGGGCCTCTCTCGGCTCCGCGGGAGCGCTCGTGAAAAACTTAGCAGGCTGGCTCGTGCGGGCCCCCGTCGCGCCCTCGTCCTCGACCCGAGCATTTGCTCTTGAAGACGACGAGGGGGCGAGAGCGCTAGGACCCGAGGAGATCCATCAGAAGCGACGGAGCTCCCGGGACGGGAAGTTCGCGGCGGGCCTCCTCCCCGAGCGTGGCGGACAGGCTCCCAGCCACAGGCGCAGGAAGTCCGGGCTGCCAGGTGGATGGGGCTTTCTCTGCCGTCGTGCTCGGACCCGGGCGAATTTCCCTAAATCTCCTTTTACCAGTCTTGTCCTAGTTCGCGTAAAATCAAACGACTTAAGATGAAATTGACATTAAGTGTCCTCGGTGGGTGAGCTACGGCTTACCGGAGGGCTCCCCCCTGGAATGAGAGCTTATGAAGAATGTATGTTTCCTTGGCCTCGGAGAGGTGGAGGAGGGAGAATTCGAGGCTCTCTCGAGTTGGCTTTTGAGTTAGGCCCTGCGTGATGCTTAGAATGTCCTCAGGCAGTGGCGAGTCTTGATCAGAGAGACAAGTGTGTTCACAGAAAGTGGACACTTGGTCGTTAAGGAGTGAAGACGAAAAGCAGGTAGTGACTGCTCACGCAGGGCCTGCAAGAGCAAGTTGAAATTTGAAATATATTCTCACAGCACTTGTGTGACACAGCTGATGTTTTGTCCATTTTGAAGATGAGAAAACAGGCTGAAAGAGTTGGATAGTGCAAGTAGTCGAGCCAGTAGTATAGGTCAGATCTCTCCAGTATTGCTCCCATCTCACGGTGACTGGGAGGCTCTCACTAACTTAGAGAAACTAAGAATCAGAAGAAGGTAGACATGGCTCGAAGCTACTGTATGAGGGTGCTTCACAAAGTTCATGGAGAGTAGAATTAAAAGATAAGTTTATTTGGTGCAAAAACATTTTAAAACCCTGCACACGCGCTGTAAGTTACAAGAATAGCAGTGTTTCACAATAGTTGTCTCTACTCGTTTTCCAAACTTTTTGCACACACAAGTACTTAGGGAATACGAGATAATTTGGGGTTTTATTTTGTGTCTGGTTTCTATGGTAAAGTACTCACAGTGTAGTAAAGGAGGTAAGAGATAACAGCTATAGTGCAAGGCAAAAAAAAACAAAAAAACAAACAAACAAACAAAAAAAAAACAACTAGTAGTTGACACCAGGGGAAGAAATAGGGTCATCAATTTAGTGGTTTGGGAGGATGGAATAGTTCATTTTTAGCAGTGGGATCAGGTTTTGAAAGAAGTGGACTATGAATACATTGCTGAAGGATGATCAGGATTTTGTCAGAGTAGTCTAGCGCAAGATTTTGCAGTAGCCAATAAAGCATTATGCATCCTGATACCACTCCAGTTTACCAAACCAACTTCGTTTTTTAGGGCCCAGGAAGGTTAATTCTAACTCTAGCTTGTGGCTCCCACCCTGTCAGCTGCGGGTTGTGGATAAGAGGCCGGTATGAAGAACAGAGTATAGTTTCTATCTGATTCCTAAACCCGTTAATTAAGCCAAGACCTCACCAAAGTACAACCCTTTTAACCTTGTGTAACTATGATCTTTAAAAAGCAGTATCCTAGAAATATGGTGTTAACTGGAAAGGAAAGAAATCCCTTAATTTGCAGGCATTTAGAATTGTTCAGGGCCGGTGTTGTGGCTCAATAGGCTAATCCTCTGCCTGTGGCACCGGCACCCCGGGTTCTAGTCCCGATCGGGGCGCCGGATTCTGTCCTGGTTGCTCCTCTTCCAGTCCAGCTCTCTGCTGTGGCCCGGGAGTGCAGTGGAGGATGGCCCAAGTGCTTGGGCCCTGCACCCCATGGGAGACCAGGAGGAAGCACCTGGCTCCTGGCTTTGGATCAACGCAGTGCAGCGGCCATTGAGGGGTGAACCAAAGGAAAAGGAAGACCTTTCTCTCTCTCTCTCTCTCTCTCTCTCTCACTTCACTCTCACTGTCCACTCTGCCTGTCCAAAAAAAAAAATCGTTCAGATCTTTTTTTTTTTTTTTTTTTTTTTTGGACAGGCAGTGTTAGACAGTGAGAGAGAGAGAGAGAGAGAGAAAGGTCTTCCTTCCGTTGGTTCACCCCCCCAAATGGCTGCTACAGCGCGCTGCGGCCGGAGCGCTGCGCCGATCCAAAGCCAGGAGCCAGGTGCTTCCTCCTGGTCTCCCATGCGGATGCAGGGCCCAAGGACTTGGGCCATCCTCCACTGCCTTCCTGGGCCACAGCAGAGAGCTGGACTGGAAGAGGAGCAACCGGGACAGAATCCGGCGCCCCAACCGGGACTAGAACCTGGGGTGCGGGTGCCACAGGTGGAGGATTAGCCAAGTGAGCCGCGGCGCTGGCCACACATCATTTTTTAAAAGCACTACCAGTATCTAAGATTTGCATATTTCCAGGTCCCATTCACAAGGTACCAGAACATTATACAATATGTTGGAATGTTTTGCAAAAAGAAACTTTAAAGTAAAAAAAGAAAGTTTCTGATTAAAATTAGAATGTGTATTGTGTAAAGTTTACAAAACTTCAGAATACGAAGAAGTAAAATCTTCCAAATTCCTGTTATCCAGAGATGCAACACTGTTCTGCCTTACCTCTCTCTGAAAGGAACTTCAGGTCAATGCCTTGCTTCTCTGTGGGTTCTTTAGTGACTAATACCTGCCTTTTAGATATATTGTGGCCTTAAAGTTGATTTCTTGGGTATGATGATGAAGGGGGAAAGACATCCACTTTGATAAAGCACTCCAGGCAATTAGGGTGATTTTAGCTGTATCTCTTATCCTAGCCTTCTTCAGCCCAACATGAGAAGTTGAAAATGGAAACTAGGCTTTTGATGACTTGGTTGTAGACTTAAAAAAAAATTAGCTCAAGTGATTCTATAGTTTATCAGAGGTACACTGTCAGTAACTCTGCTTCTCACAATTCAAACTCGTCTTAATAAATAGAACATTTGGAACATAATCACTGGATAATCTGGAAGTCATAAAATCTTCAGAAGCAATGATTTTAGTCAAGACTAACATTGGCCTTGTACCTTGAGGAGGTCTGCTTCAGGTGCTGGTTTAGTATCCCTGATTTCCTGATCTGTAAACTACTTTGCAAGATTGCATAACTAAAATGAAGCAATGAGTATATGTTAAGTATTCAGAGACAGTAGTTAAGAGATGCGAATAACTTCAGTGTATGATTTTTGCACGTGTATTATGGTTTACAAGGCTACAATGGAATGTTTTCTAGAGGATAAGAAGGCCATTGTGAGGCTGTCACCTGATGATTTCAGGATCCCTCCCATCTTTGGTCTGTCTTGCTTAATCATAGTTAAAAGGAAGTTAATATTTCAGGGGACTTGATGCTTGAGAAAATGCATTAAGTGGATTGTAAGCCCTGTAAGAACCAAATTTACAGTGCCTATAGTCCTGTCCATCATTTAGCTCCGTCTTTGTGTTCAAGAAAGAGGAAGAACCGTAGCCACCTCCTTGCAGCATATGGTAGTGCTCAAGTAGTAGAAGGTCAGCAGTGAGGGAGTCTTTCCCCTTGGTTCTTCTGTCCTGGAAGGGAGGGACACTTTTAAGTTTGCCAGGTAATGTTTTTGAAACTAACTACACATCAGAATCACTCATTTACACACAGTTGAAACTTTGTTAAATAAAGTAGGAGGGACTAACTTTAAAATGAGGCTGTCTAAAAATTTCCTGGATCCTTTGCAAATAATTCTCTATTGGGTATGGACAGTAACTACTTGCCTTATTACAGATAACAAAATGGTTTCAGTCTAGTGTATTTTCCTTAATGTATTTGTGACATAAAGAAATTTATCTAGAATCTGGGGAATTTTTGGAGAGTATTGTAAGTCTTAGGAAATTAGGTCACCTGAGTTGATGTTTCAGTGATAAGAATCAAGAGATGCCATGCTTTGTGACCTGTGAAGCATTTTATGTAAATTATAATTGCTAATGTGTATTGAGTACATGCTGGGCACTGTGCCTAGGGTTTTATATTTTTTTTACACATTTAATCCTCCTAATAATTTTGTGAAGTTTGTTTTTAGTTCTTTTGCTTATCTCCCTTTTATAGATGAGGCATGGGATAACACAAGTACAAGCCAGAATCAAGATTTGAATTCAGTCAGTTGAGTTCCAGACTTGTGGTTTTTTTTTTTTTTTTTTTTAAAGATTTATTTATTTATTTGAAAGAGTTAACACAGAGAGAGGAGAGGCGGGGAGGGGGGGTCTTCTACCCGATGATTCACTCCCCAGTTGGCCGCAATGGCCAGAGCTGTGCCAATCCAAAGCCAGGAGCCAGGAGCTTCTTCCGGGTCTCCTACGCAGGTGCAGGGGCCCAAGGACTTGGGCCGTCCTCTACTGCCTTCCCAGGCCATAGCAGAGAGCTGGATGGGAAGTGGAGCAGCCGGGACTGGAACTGGTGCCCATATGGGATGCCGGCGCTTCAGGCCAGGGCGTTAACCCACTGCACCACAGCGCCAGCCCCGGGCCCCCCTCCTCCCTTTTTAAGATTGATTTATTTATTTGAATGTCAGGGTTGCAGTTGCAGAGAAGGAGGGAAAGAGAGTGAGAGGTCTTCATCCATTGGTTCACTCCCCAAATGGCTGCAACAGTCAGGACTGAACAAGGCCAGAGCCAGGAGCTTCATCTGGGTCTCCCATGTGGGCTGCTTTCCCAGGTGCATTAGCAGGGAGCTGGATCAGGAGTGGAGCATCTGGGACTTGAACAGGCACCCATATAGGATGCTGGCACTGCAGGTGAGAGCTTTACCTGCCGTGTCACAACGCTGGCCCACAGACCTGGGCTTTTAAACACTTCACTGTCCACAGAAGGTCATTGGGCAAAATGCTGTTTAAGCCAGGTAGAATGTGGACAAATACTGGGAAGGGGCTCAGGAAAGAAAAATTTGCTTGGGATTTAATCCATTTCTCTTTGACCTCAAAGATGTTTTTTCTGCTCTATCAGGCATCTGCCATTTATGTATGAGTATCTAAACAATTATGTTGACAATAACTTTTTTCAAGTGATCAGTACAGTATACACTAGCTTTTCTATTGCAGATACTTAAGTAAATGTCATCTACATTTAGAAAATGTATGTGAGACATTAACTCGAGAACCTTAAAAAACAGGTTTTTTTTAACACTTCTTTATTTGAAAGGGAAAGAAATATCATTCGCTTGTTTACTCCCCAGATGCCCACAGCAAGGGCTAGCCTAAGCTGAAGCCAGGATCTAGTAACTTCATCCTGGTCTCCTATGTAGGTGGCAGGAATTCAAGTACTTGGGCCAATATATTCTGCTTCCCAGCACTTCATTGTGGAATGTCTCTCCAGTATAGGATGCCAGGGTCCCAAGTGGTAGCTTAGCCTGCCATACCACAATGTCCACACACCTCCCCCCACCCCTTGAGAACTTCTAGCAAAACAAATGAAAAGCAGAATAAAAGGTTATATAGATGTTTCTCTTTTTCAGAGATTTGCTGTAGGAAGATTTGCTGATAGACTTCTGTTAAGGTTTTTCTGAACTTCAGGATGAATTTTTTTATTTTTTAAATCAGATCAAGTCTCCAAGTATAGCCAAAAAAGGGGGGGGGGGAGTAGTAGCCCCAGGTTCCCAACCTTGAATAAAATATTTATAACCCATATACAGGCATGGTTTTCTGACCTATAACGTGAGGAGCAGAGCTTAGGTTGTTTCTGAGGTCCCTTTCCTAAATTCCATAATTCATTCATAATGTCTAGATTTGCGTATGAAACTAAAAGTGAGGTTGCTATATCTTGTGGAGTATTTTGCAAATTGAAAGGCATATGTTATAGATGCGTGCACACACACCCTCATCTGCTGGATACTTAATAATATATGGAAGGTTGGATAGGTATTTTATTTTAAAATCCTCTTTGGTGTTTTAATTCTAAGACTATGCTTTTTGAGGATAAAGAATATTTGGGGCCGGCGCCGCGGCTCAATAGGCTAATCCTCCACCTAGCGGCACCGGCACACCGGGTTATAGTCCCGGTCGGGGTGCCGGGTTCTTTCCCTGTCAAAAAAAAAAAAGAATATTTGGAATGTGAATATCATTTAAAACAATCACTTGGCCCCTTTTTCTTCTTTACTGTCTTTTAAACAGATGATCTTTGATCCTACTATGAGCAAGAAGAAAAAGAAGAAGAAGAAGCCTTTTATGCTAGATGAGGAAGGGGATGCCCAGACAGAAGAGACCCAGCCCTTAGAAACAAAAGAAGTGGAGCCAGAGCCAACGGAGGACAAAGATGTGGAAGCTGATGAAGAGGACAGTAGGAAAAAAGGTGAGGGAGTGGTTGGTGTGAGACTCACTGTTGTGCTAGGGAGCTTTGGTTCCAGTAGTGTTTTGGATTTTGTGCACGTGATGACTTCTTAGCCCAATAAAGCTGTTCAGGACAGTCCAGGTCATCAGTAGCCAGTGTCCACTGGACCTTGCTGATTTTTGGTAGGCTTATTCTAGGGAAATTCCCACTGAATTCACAAGTGGCAAAGATGATGAAACTTCATCATTTCAGGACTGGTTTTCCAATTTAACCTGTCAGATCTCTTCAATTCTTTTTTTTTTTTTTGACAGGCAGAGTGGACAGTGCGAGAGAGACAGAAAGGTCTTCCTTTGCCGTTGGTTCACCCTCCAATGGCCGCCGCGGCCGGTGCACCATGCTGATCCGATGGCAGGAGCCAGGTGCTTCTCCTGGTCTCCCATGGGGTGCAGGGCCCAAGGACTTGGGCCATCCTCCACTGCACTCCCGGGCCACAGCAGAGAGCTGGCCTGGAAGAGGGGCAACTGGGACAGAATCCGGTGCCCCGACCGGGACTAGAACCCAGTGTGCCGGCGCCGCAAGGTGGAGGATTAGCCTAGTGAGCCGCGGCGCCGGCCAGATATCTTCAATTCAAATGGTGGTTGTAATTCAGTATGGGCAGAAAGAAATAGGACCAACATAAGCAGTTTATGTCTTAGCAGGTCTGAAATTTTATAAGAGGTTAAAATTACAGCCTAAAATGTTTGAGGTTAGACAACTTGGTTTAGTTATTCACTCCTGATATCTAACATAGACACAGTTTAACTATTAGAAGCAAGAGATTCAGTAAACATAATTTGTGTCAAATATAAGATTGGGATAAGAGAACTGACATTCATTGAGCTTCTCCCATGTGCCCAAGTGTTTCCTACATGCTTAAAACAAGCTTGGAAATTAAATAATTTCTGTTGTAATACAGCAGAATGAATTTATTAGTAACTCCTGGAAGCTAGCAGGAGGAGCCTGAAATATTCTTAGTATATAGCCTGCCAGAGAAAATGAAAAACTTACTGAACAAAATCCACTATTTCTCATTGGTGGTAGGTATAATTTCATTGAGATTCATATTTTTGATACAGCCTTATTTTAATGAATGCGAAATAATTAAGGTCTTTGGACAATGTTTTTGCCTAGGCTCTAGGATTTAGGTGAATGAGACTTATTCCTTAGTCTGTATTATGCAGAGGAGAGATAGACAAGCAAACCGGAACTAAGAACTTCAGATGGGTTGGTACTATCCAGAAGGTACTATCCAAGCACCTTGGGGACCCTTAATGCAATTGAGGGGAAAGGATAAGTTTAAAGAAGGCTTATTAGCCGGCGCCGCGGCTCACTAGGCTAATCCTCCACCTTGCGGCGCCGGCACACCGGGTTCTAGTCCCGGTCGGGGCGCTGGATTCTGTCCCAGTTGCCCCTCTTCCAGGCCACCCCTCTGCTGTGGCCAGGGAGTGCAGTGGAGGATGGCCCAGGTGCTTGGGCCCTGCACCCCATGGGAGACCAGGAAAAGCACCTGGCTCCTGGCTCCTGCCATCGGATCAGCGCGGTGCGCCGGCCGCAGCGTGCCGGCCGCGGCGGCCATTGGAGAGTGAACCAACAGCAAAAAGGAAGACCTTTCTCTCTGTCTCTCTCTCTCACTGTCCACTCTGCCTGTAAAAAAAAAAAAAATAAAATAAAAATCTTTAAAAAAAAAAAAAAAAGAAGGCTTATTGTCCCATGAGATGGAGGTCATAGCTGTATGAGAGGGCCCACAGGAAGGCATGGAATTGAGGCTACACACATACTGTACTAGGAACTGGAAGTACTTGCGTAGGGCTGGAGGCAGGAATTGATGTATGGGTGATAAGAGTTGTGGGGAAATGGGAGAGAGAAAGCTGGAGAATCTTAGAAATAGAGCTCTGACTGTACCTTGGGAATAATGAGGAATGATACACAGATTGGTAAATATTCTCAACATGGTCCCTTAACTATTAGCTAGTAGTCATCTAGCTATTAATTAATAGCTAAAACATGTTGGTATAACTCATAGTTAGATGCCATTTATTTATTTTATTTGAAAGGCAGAGAGACAAAGATCTTTCATCTGCTGGTTCACTCTAAAATGCCCACAATATCCAAGGCTGGGATGGGCTGGGCCAGACTGAAGCTGGGAGCCAGAACTCAATTTGAGTTTCCTATGTGAGTGGCAGGAAACCATCTACTTGCCTGCTAGTTCTTAAAAATTGATAATTCTCAATCTGTCTTTTTAGATGCTTCTGATGATCTAGATGATTTGAACTTCTTTAACCAAAAGAAAAAGAAGAAAAAAACAAAAAAGATATTTGATATTGATGAAGCTGAAGAAGGTGTAAAGGTAGTATTGCTTTCTTATTGAAGGTAAAATTTGACCTCGTGAAAGGTTGCAAATGGCTGACATCCTTCCCACTTCATCTTACCTCCATATTAGCTTTACTTTTACTGTTAAGTATTTAATCTCCACTGTAAAAGGTTGTTTTTCTTGGGAGTGTATCTTTTTTTTAGATTGATTTATTTTATTTAGTTGAAAGATAGTGTGACATAGAGATCTTTATTCTGCTTCACTCCCCACGTGACTGTAAATAGCTAGGTCTGGGCCAAGCTGAAACCAGGAGCCAGGAACTTCCTCCTGGTCTCCCATATGGGTGTTGGCACCAAAGTGCTTGGGCCATCCTCCACCGTTCTGTTAGATGCATTAGTTGAAACTGGATGGGAAACAAAGCAGTCAGTATTTCTTTCTTTCTTTTTTTTTTTTTTTTTAAAGGGAGAGAGATCTTCCATCCACTGGTTTACTCCCCAAATGGCTACAACGGCCAGAGCTGGGCCGATCTAGAGCCGGGAGCTTCTTTTGGGTCTCCCAGTCTCCAGCTTTCCCAGGCACATTGAACAAGGAGATGGGTCAGAAGTGGAGCAGCCAGAACTCAAAACAGTGCCCATATGGGGTACCAGTGCCACAGGTGGCAGCTTTACCCACTACACCACAGCGTTGGCCCAGAGCAGTCAGTACTTCAACTGGTGCTCCAGTATAGAATGCCAGTATCACGAGCTGCAAGCAGCTTAACCCTCTACACAGTGCCGCCCCTTGGTGGTTTATCTTAAAAGGATTATAACTGAGAAATATAAAGTGAGACCTTGTGTATTATGTTGTGTCCTGTTTAGAAGATCACAAAATGCCTCTTGTCCTCAGTTACACTGAGGTTTTTGGCTGAGGGGAGCGAGTTCTATGAGAAATCCTGTGGAGTAAATATTGCTGTGATATCTTCTGTTACACTTCTGGTAGTGAGTTGAATATCCACAAACTTGGGTGTGTACCTTTGAACTCTAGCCTGTGGTGGCTGCGTAGTAGCTAATGATAATGTGGCCTATAGGCAAAGCAGAGCACTCAAGCCAGTTTTTTTTTTGTTTTTTGTTTTTTTTTTTTTTTGACAGGCAGAGTGGACAGTGAGAGAGAGAGACAGAGAGAAAGGTCTTCCTTTGCTGTTGGTTCACCCTCCAATGGCCGCCGCGGCCGGTGCACCATGCTGATCCGATGGCAGGAGCCAGGAGCCAGGTGCTTCTCCTGGTCTCCCATGGGGTGCAGGGCCCAAGGACTTGGGCCATCCTCCACTGCACTCCCGGGTCACAGCAGAGAGCTGGCCTGGAAGAGGGGCAACTGGGACAGAATCCGGCGCCCCGACCGGGACTAGAACCTGGTGTGCCGGCGCCGCAAGGTGGAGGATTAGCCTATTGAGCTGCGGCGCCGGCCAAGTGTGTGTTTTTTAAAAGACTTATTTTATTTATTTGAAAGGCAGAGCTACAGAGAGACAGGGAGAGATAGATCTTCCATGTGCTGCTTCACTCCCCAAATGGCTGCAAAGGCTAGAACTGGGTGGGCCAGGTCAAAGCCAGGAGCCAGTAGCTTCTTCTGGGTCTCCCATGTAGGTGCAGGGACCCAAGAACTTGGGCCATCTTTCACTGCTTTCCCAGGCCATAGCACAGAGCTGGATCGGAAGTGGAGCAACCAGGACTCAACCCACATGGGATGCTGGCATTGTGGGAGTGGCTTAACCTGTTTTGCCAAAATGCTGGCCTCAGACCAGGTTTTTTTTTTTTTTTTAAGATTTATTTATTTATTTGAAAGAGTTACACAGAGGAGAGGCAGAGAGAGAGGTCTGAAAGTTATTTTGAAGTAGGTGGGTGGGTAGGTAGATGAATAAGAGGGGTTATGGATGAAGGAGAGAGGAACTGAACGTCTCTGTTCTTCTGCCTAAAACTTAAAAGACTGTCCAGGAATCACTTGAGCAGAACACACATCTATTTAGAAAACCCAGGGGGCCAGCGCCGTGGCTCACTTGGTTAATCTTCCGTCTGCAGTGCCGGCATCCCTTATGGGTGCCGGGTTCTAGTCCTGGTTGCTCCTGTTCCAGTTCAGCTCTCTGCTGTGGCCTGGGAGGGCAGTGGAGGATGGCCCAGGTGCTTGGGCCCTGCACCCGCATGGGAGACCAGGAAGAAGCACCTGGCTCCTGGCTTCGGATCAGCACGGTGCATCTGCCGTAACGGCCATTTGGGGGGTGAACCAACAGCAAAAGGAAGACCTTTCTCTCCGTCTCTCTCTCTCACTGTCTAACTCTGCCTGCCAAATAAAAAGAAAAAGAAAACCCAGGATGATATCAATTTTATATGTATATATTTATATACAGAAAGACAGCAAGAGTGAGAACACATACTCAGATACTTAAGTGTTCCATTTTACTCTGTGTCGGAAAATTTTCCTTGGTAGTTTTTTTGCTCAAATCCAAGTAAAGTATATCCCATATGTAGCAAGAAATAATTCATTGAGTTTTAGAAACAATGTCATAATTTTGGTGATTTGGTTAGTTCAGTAAATGTGTATTGAAGATTATAGTGAGTCAGGCATTGTATGCTAATTGCAAGAATACTGAAGCGAATGAGATACGCGTCTCCTTTTCTGATATCTTAGTTCAGGGATGATTAGAATCCTTTAGAATGGGATTCTCTTCTCTTCCTGCTATTGTAGGACAATTGGAGAAAGAAATGCTCCGCTTATACTGAATAAATGAGGTTTAAAAATCCTGGATAAAATTGGCAGCACAGAATGTGCCACAGAAAGTCTTGATTAATATGGCGCTGATGGTTGATTCCTCTAGTAACTGGTGCCTAAAGAATTATTGATTAGCTCTACTCTTAAGTGTCCGGATGCTTTTTTCTCTGCTGTTGAAGTAAAAACATAACATAAGAGGATGTTAAAAATATTCTGGTCTTCAGGCAAGACATGAATGTTGATTTAAAGATAAAGTCGTCTTGGATTATCTTCAACTTGAGTTTTTAGACCATTACAGTTCTTTTGAGAAACACTTGTATTCTCTGCCTTAAGCTGTGTCTTGACCCGTTTCAATGTAGATCTTACTGGGATAAAATGAATAACAGTGTAGGACTAGAAACAAGCTGATATGTTTTAATTTATATCCTGCGTTTCCAAGTTTCTTGTTTATGGAAAGTCATCTTAGAGACTAGGTTGTTATCTGGCTTCCTGTTTATGTATGTCTAGCTTATACCAATGGCTTGATTGGTGTTTGACAGCTAAATGTGACACCAAGACCACTCACCTGGATTTGAGATCCCAGATCTGAGCTTGATTTACTCCCAACTATTCCAATTTGTTTCACTGATTTCTGAAATCACTGTAGCCATTGTCACAATAGTTCATGATATAGGAATACAAAAAATAGTTAATTGATAGGTAATATTGATGGTACACTTTGGGATAAGGGATTGGATAAACTGGTGAGAAGAGAGAAAAGACTGGAAATCAAAATTGGCCCTTTATAACTTTTCTAGGTGTTAATACCTTGTTTATATCCATGCCAATAACAACTAATCTTGAGGTTAAGCTGCACCTTGTCTCCATCCCTAAATTATGTGGTCCTCATTCCCCATGGGTTCTGCCTTTCCCTCTTTCATGTTGTCATCTTTTGAAGTGATGTCCAAAGACTTCAACTTGTCTGGTGCCAGGCTGTCTGTGGTTAATAATAAAAAATAAATATTTGATCTTTGTCCCTGGTTCCTGGTATATAGCTTATGAAACCCTTGCAGTCTCCAAAGTGATGTCTTTTTTATGCTAATAAGATGGCTGGAGGTCTCTCAAAAGCTCTAAGATGGGGGCTGGTCACCAGAAAACCATACCATGATTAGAAGGTTGGAACTTGCATAACCTGTGACACTTCCAAGGAGGGGAGGAGTCTGGACCTGGGTTCTGTCACCAGTGAGCAATGACATGGTCTTGCCTACCTAATGAAACGCCCAAATGACAAAAGAGTTTGAAGACTTCCTGACTGGTGAACATGTAGAGATGCTGGCATGGTGTCATGTCTGGACCTTCCCCCACAGCTCCTTCCCCTTAGACCTTGTCTTATATCCCTTGCATTTGTTAGTTCCTGAGTTGCAGTCTTTATAATAAATTGGAAGTAGTAAGTGAAACTCTTCCCTGTGTTCTGCGAGTCATTTTTGCAGGTTATTGAGTGTTAGGGGAGTTGAGGGACTTCCCAGATTTACAGCCAAGTTGGACTGCAGTGTGAGTAACTTGGGAACATGGCACTGGAGACTAGCGTCTGAAGTGAGGACAGCCTTGTAAGACAGAGCTCTTAAACCTGTGGAGTCTGACGTTAACTCTCGGGGTAGTTATTAGAGCTGAATAGGAGGATATACCTAGTTAGTATTGGAGAGTTAGAGGATTAGTGTGGATAAACAAATATTTGGTATCAACAGGAAAAATCTCTCGCACTGACTGCATCAGATTCACTTAGAAACTTCTTCCAAAAAGTTCCTGAACTTTGTTCCTGCTGAAGTTTATCAGTCAGAAGATTTAGGATTTTCCAGGTGATTCTTACGGAAGCCTGGATTGGAAACATGGGCAATAAATAATAAGATCCCAAGGCTGAAAATAAAAATAAACTGTAAAAAAGCAGGAGAGATCCCACGAAAGTAACTTGAGGAATTCAGTTTAAATGGCAAAGACCTCTCTGAGCCAGTTTGGCCCACTTGTGAGAGGTATTTCTTGTCTGAAACTTTAGCTTTGAATATTTCCTGCCAAAATCAAGTTAACCCATGTCATTTGAAGGAAAAGGAAGAAAAAAAAAAAAAAAGAGTTCCGGTATCAAAAACATTGAAACTCGTATCTCAATTTCTTAGGATCTTAAGATTGAAAATGATGTTCAAGAGCCAGCTGAACCAGAGGATGACCTTGATATCATGCTTGGCAATAAAAAAAAGAAAAAGAAGAATGTCAAGTTCCCAGACGAGGATGAAATACTAGAGAAAGATGAAGGTAATACTGGGGACTCCACAGCTCATTTTTAGCTTATCTGAGCCTTTAGCCCTAGTTTCCTGGATGGAGTTTGTGGGTGCCTTTAAAGAGATTTTTCTCCTACCCCTTATTCTTGCTACATGAAGCTGAAGGGAAACAGTATCTAATTTAACATTGGCAGTTAAAGATTTCATGGGGGGAGAATTTGGCAGTTATGATTATATTAAAACACTGATTCAGACTTGAGAAAATTACTGTAACTGGTTTAATGTTAAAAAGTGTTTTGTTTAGTTTTATTAAAGTTTCTAAATGTTATAGGGTCTTTGGAGAATTTTAGAATAAGCAGCAGATGGGTTTTTATGGATATGGAAATTGTTTAAGTGTGTCAAAACAGTTGGACTCTTATCCTTTAATTATGCTATTACATTATCTTGTGTTTGTTAAGGCAAGAAACATTTCAGTGTGTCTGTGCTATCACAAACTCCTAATCAGGACTCTGTTCAGGGGCTTTTATGAAAGTCATAACATCTCTAGCTGTAAGGGAAGGGGAGTTGTTCTTGATAGCTTTTTCTTTGAGGCTGTTTATGAATGCAGTTGTGGGAGAGAAGACAAATGTCTTTGAAGTTTTCATTTCTCTAGATCTGCACTCTCCCCCTTTTGTTATTGTCACAGGGCCTGCCCCTCATTCTTACAGTCTTTGTTATCTATAGCTTTAGAAGACGAAGACAGCAAGAAAGATGATGGAATCTCATTCAGTAACCAGACAGGCCCTGCTTGGGCAGGCTCAGAAAGAGACTACACGTATGAGGAGGTAAGACAAAATTCTGTTGTGACAATGGGCTAAGCTGTTCACTACAGCTCAAAGAAATACATACTTGTTAAGTATTGCCTGAATTGAAAGATAGAGACTGAGGTATGCACTGATGGAAAAACAGATGGGGAATGGTCCTGCAATATCTCCAATAGCCCACCTGGGAGCTGCTTGCCAAGAATACAGCAGTCTCACTGTCCCCACCTGAATTTATTAGGGCAGGGAGCTTCCTGGGAATTTGGAGCAGAGGTGACAGAAAGGCCAATTCGAGGCCAGGCTAGTCTGGGTTTTGCTTGTTTGGGTCCCCTGAATATTTATTTGTCTGTGTATCCTACACTCTCCTATAGCAACAGAATGGAAAGGGGCTTGTTGATTAATTTAACTTGAGGGAGTTGCTGAGCATCAATAATGGACCGTACTCTGGTTGGTGATGCCCTTAAGCAGCTGCCAGAACATGTAGTGATGCGAGTATATTTTAGTAAAAAGTGATGTGTGCTTTGTTAAAGCAGAGTGACTCACAGGAACTTGGTACTCCTGCTCTTGCTAAGAATGTGCACAAATACCACTTTATTTCTATAGCTACTGAATCGAGTGTTCAACATCATGAGGGAAAAGAATCCAGATATGGTTGCTGGCGAGAAAAGGAAATTTGTCATGAAACCTCCACAGGTCGTTCGAGTAGGAACCAAGAAAACTTCTTTTGTCAACTTTACAGATATCTGTAAACTGTAAGTTGCTTAAAAAGAGCTTCCTTCCCAATTGCCAGATCATCAGTGGCATTTTAAGGATACCAGATGTCCTTATTGTAGACTTCACTGTGGTAAAAAAAAATTTTTTGAAGGACTGAAGGACTGCTTGTTCTTTAGTTCCATAAGTGGCATGTGCTTGTTGTAGAAAAAATAGTGAACAAAATCAAGATGCTTACACTCAAAGTTCTACCACCCAGAGATACCACTTGTTGTCATTACTGGTATTAAAATTTTTTAGACTTTGTCTGCTGATGACAATATTAACATATGCTCATTATAGAAAAATTACATATTTTTTATACAGTATTATATAAGAGTACTTAAACTTTGTGGAAAAGGAATTAAAAGATATGGCTATTTTGGTGCAAAAAAATTTTTCTGTAATGTATTCAGGTGAATGGCAAAGCTGGAGTGGGGAGAGATAAGTGATTTTTTTTTTTTAAAGATTCATTTATTTATTTGAAGGGCAGAGTTACAGAGAGGCAAAGGCAGAGAGAGAGGTTTTCCATCTGCTGGTTCACTCCCCAAATGGCTGCAGCGGTTGGAGCTGGGCCGATCTGAAGCCAGGAGCCAAGGAGCCTCTTCAGGTCTCACATGTGGGTGCAGTGGCCCAAGCTCTTGGACCACCCTCTACTGCTTTCCCAGGCCATAGCAGAGAGCTGGATCGGAAGTGGAGCATCCAGGACTTGAACTGGCGTCCATAGGGAATACTGGCACTGCAGGTGCCAGCCCCTAAGATTTATTTATTTATTTATTTGAAAGGGTTACAGAGATAGGGAGAGACAGAGAGAGATCTTCTATCTGCTGGTTCATTCTCCAGTGGCCACATGGCAGGAACTGGGTGTGCCAGGCCAAAGTCAGGAACCAGGAGCTTCTTGTGGGTTTCCTACATGGATGCAGAATGGGAAGTGGAACAGCCGGGACTTAAACCAGTGCCCATGTGGGATGGTGGTGTGGAAGACGGTGGCTTAACCTGCTGCACCACAGCACTAGCCCCTTGATCTTTCATCTGATGATTCACTCCCTAAATGGCCACAATGGCTGGGACTGGGCAAGGCCAAAACCAAGGAGCTGGATAGGAAGTTGGACAGACAGGTCTGAACCCTGCGCTTGTATGGGATGCTGGCATTGCAGGTGGCACCTTAACATGCTGCACCACAGAACAGACCCTGCAAACTTTTTTTTTTTTTTTTTTTAAGATTTATTTATTTATTTGGAAGAGTTACACAGAGAGAGGAGAGGCAGGAGAGAGAGAGAGAGGTCTTCCATCTGCTGATTCACTCCCCAATTGGCCACAACTGCCAGAGCTGTGCTGATACAACACCAGGAGCCTCTTCTGAGTCTCCCTTGTGGGTGCAGGGGCCCAAGGACTTGGGCCATCTTCTGCTGCTCTCCCAGGCCATAGCAGAGAGCTGGATCGGAAGAGGAGCAGCCAGGACTAGAACCAGCACCCATATGGGATGCCGGCGCTTCAGGCCAGGGCATTAACCTGCTGCGCCACAGCGCTGGCCCCTGAAGTTCTTTTTTTTTTTTTTTTTCTCATTAAAAATTTAAACCAGGAAATATATAAGGATTAGCATAAAAGACATCAAATATCAAGTATCTGAGTTAGGTGTATACTGACCTTTGGACACATTGCCTCAGGTCATAGATTTTTGTTAGTTTGTTTAAGATTTGCTTTATTTATTTGAAAGACAGAGAGAGGGGTCTTCCTCCCTAAATGGCTACGAAGGCTGGGGCTGGGCCAGGCCAAAGCCAGGAGCTTCTTCTGGGTCTCTGTATGGGTGCAGGGGCCCAAGCATCTTCTGCTGCTTTCCCAGGTGCATTAGCAGGGAGCTAGATGAAGTAGAGCAGCCGAGACTCGAACTGGCACCCACGTGGGATGCTGGCATTGCAGGTGGCAGCTTAACTTGCTATACCATAACACTGTCTTGTACTTTTTGAGATTTATTTATTTGAAAAGCAGAGTTAGAGAGATAGAGGAAGAGACAAAGAGAGTAAGATCTTCCATCTGCTGGTTTACTCTCCAAATGGCTTAAAGGGCCAAGGTTGGTCCAGGCCAAAGCCAGGAGCCAGGAACTTCGTCCGGCTCTCTCATGTGGATGGCAGGGGCCCACATACTTAAGCCATCTTCTGCTTTCCTGGGTGCATTAGCAGGGAGCTGGATCGGAAGTGATGCAGCTGGGATTCAAATCGATGCCCACATGGGATATTGGCATCACGGGTGACAGCCTAACCTGCTATACCGCAATGCCAGCCCTTTAGTACTTTTTTTTTTTTTTTCAAGATTCATTTATTTGTAAGGCAGAGTTAGAGATCTTCCACCCGCTGGCTTATTCTCCAAATGGCCCAAATGGCCACAACAGCCGTGGCTGGGCCAGGTTGAAGCCAGGAGCTTCATGGGGTCTCCCACGTGAGTGCAGGGGCCCAAGCACTTGGGCCATCCTCTGCTGCATCTGCAGGTACATTAGCAGGGAGCTGGATCAGAAGTGGAGCAGAGGCTGGTGCCTGTAGTGCCAATATCCCATATGGCACTGCTGGTTCGAGTCCCAGCTGATCCACTTATGATCAAGTTCTCAGGCTCCTGCCACCCACGTGGGAGACCTGGAAGAAGCTCCTGGTTCTTGGCTTCAGATCAGCACAGCTGCAGCCATCTGGGGAGTAAATCCATGGATGGTGGATGGAAGACCTCTCTTTCTCCTCTGCCTTTCAAATATGTAAATAAATCTTTAAAAAGAAAACAAGTGGGCAGCAACTAGAACCTGCACCCATATGGGATGCTGGTACTGCAGGCTATGGCTTAACCTGCTACACTACAGCATTGGCCCCTTAATACTTTAAAAAGGATTTTATGGTTATAGTTATGTCTATATCTTATATCTTCCTTCCCAGAGGAGAATGTTACCCTCTAAAGTTTGCCTCTCCATGTTTCTACACATTTTCTCATGTGTATGTGTTTCTAAATAACATGTAATACTGTTTTATTGGCATTAAAATGTAAACAAATGGTGTCATACAGTATATATCATTTAAATTTTATTTAAGGTTAAATCAGTGGGGTACTGAAATCCTAATAGATAGTAATCATAGGTCAAAAATAGTGAAGAGATGGTTTTTTAGAAATTTTGACAGGTTTCCATGAATGATAAGGTTTACATGTTTTATTTTCATTTTAGATTACATCGTCAGCCCAAACACCTCCTTGCATTTTTACTGGCTGAATTGGGTACAAGGTAAGAATCTATATATTCATTTTTAGTAAGTTACTACTGGCCAATTCATAAGAACCTCTTTTAACCTGAAAAGTATAAGTAACTTGCTTTTTAAAAAACATCTACCTGATTACCAAGAAACTTCAGGGAAGTAGAAAGAAATACTACTTCATTCCTCTAGGAGAGCTTGGCTGCTTAGGAACCAGGTTATGGCGTTGACTCAACAGGCTTACTTGTATACCAACACAAGAGCCATTTTTAGAGTTTCCTGCCAGTAATTGGACAGGAATTAGTTTTTTGTTTTGTTTTTTTTTTTTTGTTTTGTTTTGTTTTTTGAGCAAATGTTGAGTTTCAGAGGAAGCCATTTTTCTTAAGTCAGAATTGGTAAGGCTATTGAAGAAACAGTTTGTAAGTTGATGAGTGGCATGGGAGGAACCACTTTAATGGAGGTAATATCCCTGCCTTTGGATTTGGAAACAGTTTCAGTGAACTGAAATTACAGTTGGTTACATAGCCAGTTAGTGGTACAGTCAAGATGCAAACTCAGGTCTGTCTCTGGAATTTGGAAGGCAGAGTTAGAGAGAGGCAGAGGGAGGGAGGGAGGTCTTCCATCCGCTGGTTCATTCCCCAAATGGCTGCAATGGCCGGAGCTGCACCGATCTGAAGCCAGGAGCTTCTTCCGGGTCTCCCACGTGGGTGCAGGGGCCCAAGGACTTAGACCATCTTCTACTGCTTTCCCAGGCCATAGCAGAGAGCTGGTTTGGAAGTGGAACAGCCAAGACTTGAACCTGCATCCATATGGGATGCTGGCGCTGCAGGCGGCAGCTTTTATCCACTACGTCACAGTGCCGGCCCCATGAAATTTGAGCTCTTAAAATCTGTGCCTCACTGGCAGTACAGAGAAAATTAAGGTGTTCTGTGCTCTTTGTACTCTTAAAATTTAATTGGGAATTTATTGTACTTGCTGTGTAATTAGAGTAATTTATATGTAGGTTCTGTTGTAGAACTATGACATATTTAGGAGAGGAAAATAGGGACAGACACAGAGAGACTTCCCATCCATTGGTGTAGTCTGCAAATACCTGCTACAATAGCTGGGCCTAAGCCAGGAACTCCATGCCAAAGCCAGCAGCCAGAAACTTAAACCAGTCTCCTGGATTGGTGGCAGGGACCTAACCAACCACTTGAGCCATCACATGTTGCCTCCCAGGGTTCAGGGTGCTGGGATTGGGAGTGGAGCCAGTGCTTGAGCTCGGGCGCTCCAATATGGGAGGCCTGTCCCAACCAGCAGCTTTACCTCTAGGCCAACTGCTGCCCCGAATTGTGTTTTACATATAAATTTGTTACAATTGTTTAACTTGCATAAATTGGTCAAGGACCAACTCTAGCAGTGCTTTTTCTACTTTTCAGAATATCATGTACAGTTTTTGTATAGCAGGGTGTATTAGTTATATTTTCATCACTGTAACAAATACCTGAGAGAAGTTACTTATGAACAGGGTTTATCCCCGCTCAGTTTTGGAGGTTCACATCCCAAGGCTGGGCAAGCCCCATTGGTGTCTGGTGCCTGATGAGAGTAATGAATGACAGAACACATGCAGAGAAAGGATCGCGGGGTGAGACAGGAAGCCGAGAGAGAAACAAGGCCCAACTCAGCCAATCTCTTCTCCAGAGCATGCCCCTAGGGACCGAAGGATCCCGCCCCCACTTTAGATCCACTTCGATAGTTGGATTAAGTCTCTGTCCTCTTCCAATAATACCACCTAGGGCCAGTTTTAACAATGTGGGCCTTTGGGAACACTGAAGGTAAACGCAGACTCTAGCACAGGGTGAATTTTTAAGTTGTACCAGAGAAATAATTGTCAGTGGGTTAAATATAGGATTGTTGAGGAAACTTCTTTGATAGTGAATGAAAGAAAATTTTCCTGCATCAAGCATTGCACTCTCTAGCTTGCAGATAAGGGTTATAATCCATGGAAGATGATTTGAGATCTACTAAGTTACATGGGCCAGTGTTTAGCATAATGGGTATGGGCACCAGTTCAGGTCTCAGCTGTTCCCCCTCCAGTCCAGCTCCCTGTTAATGTTCTGGGAAAGCAGTGGAATATGGCCCAAGTCTTTGGGCCCCTGCCACCCACTTGAGAGAACCAGAAGAAGCTCCAGGCTTCAGACTGGCCCCAGCTCTGGCTGTTGCGGCCATTTGAAGATTGAACCAGCAGATGGATGCTTGCTCATTCTCTCTAAACTGCCATTCAAATAAATCTGTTGGGTCACTCCCCAAATGGCAGCAGTGGCCCACACTGCGCCAGGCCAAAGTCAGGAGCTTCATCCAGGTCTTTCACACAGGTAGCAGGTGCCCAAGCACTTAGGCCATCTTCTACTGCTTTTCCCAGGCGATTAGCAGGGAGCTGGTTCAGAAATCGATCATCTGGGACTTAAACCAGTGTCCATAAGGGATACCAACATTGCAGGTAGCAGCTTTACCCACTGTGCCACAATGCCAGCTCTGAGGATGTTATTAAACCCTTATACTTGAATTGCAGAAATTTTTTTTGCAGAAATCCAATAAATATAACTTAAGTTCTTGCAGACAGATTTTTGTTTCACTTAGTGATTTGTAAGTTTTAACATGAGAATGTCTAGTGCAGAGCTTTCTCTTTTCAAGTTCTTGTCAAGAGCTTAAGTAAATTATCATTGGCAATTTGTGGTCTATGACTTCAACTATTTTTGGTAGCCACTTTGAGATACTCAGTTTACACATTTAAAGCATATAATTCAATGGCTTTTGATATGTTCACACTAAAATTAGTATGTATATCACTACAATTGTGTATTTCCATCATATATACTTTTATTTATTTGAAAGGTGGGGTTACGGAGAGGCAGAGAGAGTGATCACTGGTTTAGTCCCTAAATGGCCACAGAGGCTAAGGCTGGACCAGACTGAACCAGAAGTCTCATCCGGGTCTCCTACATGGGTACAAGAGCCCAAGCACTTGGGCCATCTTTTACTGCTTTGCCAGGCACATCAACGGGGAACTAGAATTGGAAGCTGGGACTTTATACTTTTAATCATAACTGTATCAAAATTTGTAGTGCACTTACAGCCCATTTACTTTGCATAAAGTGTGTACACAGTGAAAGTTTTTCTTTCTCAGGTGAATGGACTGTCATATGCAACTGAATTCATTTTGAACTTAAACAATTATAAATCTGATTACTGTCACTGGAGATTTAGTTGGCTGAAATTGGTTTTTTTTTTTTTTTTTATTTATTTTTTGACAGGCAGAGTGGACAGTGAGAGAGAGAGACAGAGAGAGAAAGGTCTTCCTTTGCCGTTGGTTCACCCTCCAATGGCCGCCGCTGCAGCCGGCGCACCGTGCTGATCCGATGGCAGGAGCCAGGATCCAGGTGCTTTTCCTGGTCTCCCATGGGGTGCAGGGCCCAAGCACCTGGGCCATCCTCCACTGCACTCCCTGGCCATAGCAGAGAGCTGGCCTGGAAGAGGGGCAACCGGGACAGAATCCGGCGCCCCAACCGGGACTAGAACCCGGTGTGCCGGCGCCGCAAGGTGGAGGATTAGCCTATTGAGCCACGGCGCCGGCTTGAAATTGGTTTTAATATTAGGAAATATGGTCAGATCATCATGCACCAGCTACTTAATTAAAAATGTTGAGAAACCCGTTTTTCTAACACTGATCCTAGCACACCATTGAATATATTTTAAATTCATTAAATATGAATATGCTGTAATTTTTCTCAGGAAAAAATATTTGTGTTTTTTCATAGTGGTTCTATAGATGGCAATAACCAACTTGTAATCAAAGGAAGATTCCAACAGAAACAAATAGAAAATGTCTTGAGAAGATATATCAGTAAGTATACAGTTTGGCTTCATTGTATCACTGAAATGTTCTCTTCAGATTGCAATGTTCTGAGGAGAGCCATTTGTTTTAGCATTTAAAAAAAATGAGGGAGGAAATGATAGTGACAGAGGATAGGGGTAGGGAGAGATGGCTCTTGACTGCTGACCCAGGGCTGCAAAGAGAGGGTTTGGAATTCTTAATACCTAGTTGATTGAGGCTGTTGGTTGGCTCTGGCACTGTGAAGGTTAAGACAGAAATGTGGTCTTAATTCAGGTGTGAGCTGGCCACCTTTTATTACCTTAATCACTTAATATTGGCTTTATGAATTTCTGTCTAGGAAGGCTGGCTTTCCTGTAGCCAAAACCAAGACTAGGCAGCTGGCAGTCACCTCTGCAGCAGCTGGCATCTGGAGTCTTTTAAAAGCTCACGTTTTAGTATTAAAGGCATCGCTGCAATAGCTTGTGCTTTCTTATCAGGATAGCTGGATCTAGCTGAGCTCCCCTCGTTTGAATGCCCAGGTAAACTGTCCTGTCAGCTTGGGTTTATGGAGCTCCATATGTATGAAGATAATTAAAAACGTTCTTAGAAAAATGTAAATTATAGGTGAGTTCATTTGGTGCAAAGATACTTTTGAAATCCATGCATGTGAAAGATCTTTAAAAAAAAGTTAATATGGAAAAAAGTGCACGGATTTAAAATTTTTTTTACACCAAAGTCTTTTAATTCTGTTTTTCCAACTGTCAGAGGGCAGGAACCTCTGCCTCACTGAGCCACCAGGTAATGATGTGTTCCTTTTCCCACAGAGGAGTATGTCACTTGTCACACGTGCCGATCACCGGACACAATCCTGCAGAAGGACACCCGACTCTATTTCTTACAGTGCGAAACTTGTCATTCTCGATGCTCTGTTGCCAGTATCAAAACTGGCTTCCAGGCTGTCACAGGCAAGCGAGCACAGCTCCGTGCCAAAGCTAACTAATTTGCTAATCACCACTGATTTTGCAAAGTGTGTTGTGGAGAGTTGGCTGGACAGGTTTCCCATCAGAGTGGATATGCCATTGTATTAAAAGCAAGACAGAAAAGTCGCCAAGTTCTTTGGTGAGTGGTTGGTGATCGGAAATCCTTGCAAGATGCCGATGCTCAAGCTGTTGACATACTCATTGCCTACTTTAACAACTGTCAGAAAAACATAATGGGGTAAGGAGGTGCTTTTTTAAAATCGTTCATAGACTTCTGTAAAATGCAAGATAAATTAAAGTTATTATAACAGTGATTCTTTCAATTTGGTTTGTCCTTCAGTTTTCTTTTCTATTAAAATAACTCAGCAAAAACAAAGCGAAACAGTTTGTGCCTGGGCTGTAGTGAGGTCTCTGTATCCTTGTCCTGAAAAACTGGACATTGGCAGGCTCTTCAGCTGGGCAGCCATTTTTCTTCTCACTTCTCTTGAGATAACAAAGTTAAAAGTGGATGCAGCAGGAGATCAGGGAAGACTGCCCAGAGAAATGGCGACAGATTTGAATTCTTTACCTTATGTGAGGATTGTTGCTAACTACCTCACTGCCGGATCCTCTTCCATCTGTTACTACATGAGGGAATACAAGGTGCTAGGTACCCTCCCTCCTTAATTTTCTTCCATAATGGCCACAAAGAGGTCTTAGAAAACAGCCTCAAGATGTGTCTTGTAACTTGATACACTAAAAAACCCTAGTGAGTGTACTGCTATACGCAGTACAGGGAGCTCTTCTGAGAGTCCAAATGGTAATGCCAGAAGAATCTTTTTCTTCCCATCTTGTGATCAGAGTTTGAAAAAGGCCCACCACAAATGCGTATGTTTTCTGTAGCTTTGGAATGTGACTGTGAGAGCCCAAGAGATGCTGCTGCTTACGCGGTGTTTCTGGTGCCTCCAGTTCTGCCTCCCGAGGACTTGGCTGGAAGGGTGTTCCTGCACTGGTGCACCGGGGAGAGGGCCATCTGATTTGTCTGTGCTGTGACCTGCCTTGCTCACACGGGCTGAGGATAGGGGCACACACAGTGCTCTGCTTTTTTATTGACAGACTTCACACTAAGTGGCCCAGGAGCAGCCAGTGTCTCATCCATGTTGTTTTTAATCACTGTGACCCTTAATTTTATTAAAGTACAAGCCAAGTGTTAAACACCTTGGCCATGAAGTGGTAGAGGGAGCCTTCCCTCAATCCTGTCGGTCCTCCTGCAGGGACTGCACACTGGCTGAGCTGCCACCACTGCCATGAAGAACCCAACTGCTGTTTATGACCCCGTTTTCCTTTTTTTGTATCTATGCCCGTTGGATATTATTGCGTGAATAAAGCAAGGATCAGTGCCTCTTGTGTAATTAGCGCTCCACTGCTTTCGTGTGTGTGTATGTGTGTGTATTTCTTTACTTAAAGGGAAGGCATGGGACTTTATAGTGTGATGACAGTTGGCAAATAATTATTTGGGAGATTTAAACTTAATACTCAAAGCAAGTTCTAAGAACCATCTCTGAGGCATCACTGTAATAGGCATCTCTCAAAGTTTTATTAATCTGCTATAGATTTTCATTAGCTTTGTAAACATGCCATAAGCCACGTCAAAGCCAAAATACCACATGGAAAGTTGACCTGACCAAATGATACCCTAAGTGACAAAGTCTTTCTTTAGTATCATGACTATTAGAATGACTCATTTTTCATTCCCAGATGCACTGTGACAAGAAGTAAACACACTGTTATCTCCATTTTTGCAGACAAGGAAATGGAGACAGGCGAGACACCTTGTCCAGTGTCACACAGCAGGGTAAATGATGGAGCCAAGATGCCCCTGAGCTTGAGACTTGCTGCCTCAGAGATGGTGTCTCAGGTTCAAAAGCTGGAGTGCCTATTGCAGAATAAAGTTCCTGCCCTCCAGGGGCTTATGTCTAGTGGAAGAGCTGAGATAAAGACACGTGGGAAGGGCAGGAGATAGCCAGTGGGGGAAGACGAGGCTACAGAAGCCGGGCTGCACTGGTCTATCCATAATTAGTTCTGTGCAGCCTGAGACCAGGGGGCAGATTATAGGAGGGGAAGTGGTGAGCTGCAGGGCAAGACATCAGATCCTGGGGGGCTTCTATGCCATGCTAAGGGGAGTCTACATTTTATGCAATAGATAGGGAGTAACTGATGGTGGGGAAGGGAAGTGTACGGTAAGGAGGCCAGGTAGAAGGCACTGGAGAAGCTCAGGTAAAGATAATGAAGAGGGGTCAGAGGAGACTGCCAGACGAAGCACAACACACAGGGCTGAGTGTACTCAGATGTCCAAGCAGACAGTGGTGCCAATTCCCAAGACTGGAGATTCATGAAGAGAGCAGCAGGCTAGGCAGGATGTGAGTGAGGTCCTTGTGGACACCCAAGCGCAGCCATCCCCTGGTGCTCAGGGAGGAGAATTGCAGGTGGAGACTGTGGAGTCCTGAGTGCAGCCTAGAGAGAAAAGGGTGGAGAGGTACACACCGAAAGGTACACAGGGGGAGAGCCAAGTGAGGCTTGTCAAAAAAAAATCAAGAGCAGAATTTGAGGTCTGCATCCAGCCTTCACCTCCAAGCGACTGATCTTGGGCAAATCAGTTTCCCAACCCCTGACACTGGAGGAGTATCTCTACCCCTGGGGGACTGTGGTGAGGGGTAACTAAGGTAATACAACCTATATAAAGAACTCAGCAGAGCACCTAGGAAGTGCTAATTTACATATAAACCATCAGGATCTATAAATCCAGCACCAAAAAATATGTAGAGGTGGTGTGCAATTAAGAGCATGAGGGTAGATACTGGATCGTTTGTTTATATTTTTAATTATTTAGTTGGCCAATTTATCATAAAAACCAAACTTGTGGGAAAGATGAATGAGCATCTCCTTGTGTGGTCAGGGAGATGGACACTGGGATGTGAGGGGGTGGAGGAGGGCCTCAGGTTTAGAAGGGGCTGGATGTTCTGTGTACGTGAACAGCTGGACCTGTGTACTTGCCCAAACAAGACCCAGCTGTTGGCACCTTTGTGGAAGGACTTGCATGTTGGGACTTGTCCTCTTATGGCTTCTGGGACCCAGCTATGACATGAAGAATCCCAGGTCGGCCTGCTTGCTGCTGGGGACGGACGTGTACACGTGGCCCAGTTGCTCCTGTTGCACAGCCAAACATGGGTGAGGCCCTCTGAGACCAACCAGCCCCCAGCTGTTCTGCCAGCTCACTTCAGCCAGGTAAGATAGGGAACTGGGCTGAGCTAATGGTTATTAAAGTTCCTAAGTTTCAGGGTGGTTTGTTATGGAACACTCAGTAATATAGGCCTGATCTGGATCTGGAGTAACCTCTCATTTTACAGCCGAGGAAACAGAGACCTAGCAAGGAAGACAACTTGCCCTTGGTCACCAACCTGTTGGCAGCAATCCAGCAAACCCCTGGCTGCTGTATTCTTGCAAGATAGCTGCTAGCATCACAAATGAGGGCTTGAACTCTTGAACACATCTGGAGAAGATGGGTCCTTTGGGCAAGTGGGTCCCAGTTCTTCACCATTTCCTTTGAGAGTTTTCAGAGGTTGAACAGAAAAATGCAAACTGTTGAGCAATGGGATGGGAGACGTCTTTGCCAGCCTCCAGTTCAGGGAGGGCGGGCAGATGTGTGCAGGGCTGCGAATAGGACCCTCCCTCTCACAGGCCCAACTGCAAGTTTGTCCAGGGGCTTTTCTGGGATGCCAGGATGGGATTCCCATCTTCCCGTCCAGCAGAGGTGGGTAGGCCAGGGGCTGCCTGCCCTGGAAAGAATCTCCCCTACCCTTCTCACTGCACCCCACTCCTGGTACCTGAGGTGGCTGCTGGGCTCGCTGTCCCTCACGCTCTTTCAGGAAAGCACTCCCAGGCAGGGACTGCAATGAGTACAGAGCACTAGGCTCTGAGGACACAGGGACACACCAAGCTCCAGGCCCCCTTCTTTGGACTTTGCTCAAGCTTTAGTTTTGATCCAGGGCAGCTGTTTCCCGTGTTGTGCAGACAGGGCCACCTGGGCAGACAAATGGGTCTGTCACTGTTGGCTCTGGCCCTGTAGGCACTGCAGAGGTTCAGGGATTGGATGGGTGTGTGTCCCACTGAGGGCTCTGCATGGACGTGGGCACTCCCTACGGACCCAGCCTCACCCTCCGGACACTGCCGTCTGTGTGTTGAAGCCCTTTGTCTCAGGCCTACTGCTCACTCCTCACACTGAAGTTCTCAGCCTCTGCCAGCAGGGGGCCGGCCAGGCGGACATGGGGACTGTGATCCTGTGAGACACAGCGCTCAGAAGGTGCAGAAACAGACCAAGAGAATGGCCAAGCAGGGATTATGACCTTTGGCTCTGGTGTGGGGCCAGAACCCTGGAAGCCTTGGGGCTGGCCTGCCAATGCCAGCAAAGCTGGAAGACCAAAGAGTGTGAGAGATGGGAGTGTCCTCCACCAAAGACAGGCCCAAGCCCATGGGGACAGACAAGTGGTGTGACCCTGGGAACTCATGCAAACAGGGGACATGCAGATGACAGGAAACCACCGGGCCTTCTGAGGGGAAGGGCTACTTCGAGGAAGAAGTGAACAGTTCTGGAAGAACAGTCAGTGGGCCTGGCCGTGACACCACGGTAGCAGCTTCATGGTAAGCAGGTGTTTCCCAGGTGGAGAAAGGGGCTGTCCGAATTGGAAAAAACCTGTTTGTGAGTGCTGCCCTCCCACAGCCCCATGCCGAGGCCGGCCGAGGGGCCACACTTGTGTCACCCAGTTCACATGCACCAGAGTAGATACTTGACCTAAAAATGAAACCAAAGGTTTGCTGTGGCTGTGGCAGGTGATTCTCTTGGGAACTGTGGAGAGTGGCAGGGACCGGGGTGACAACATGGGGAGAACACAGTGGGCACCATGCACACAGCTGAGTGAGGAAGCCCGTTAGAGAGCAGGGCCGATGTCCACACAGGGACAGCCTCCTACCGCGTGCGTAACAGGAGTGTGGCCCAACTGCTTCCTACCAAAACTGCACGGAGTGTGAAGGACCTGGCTGTGCTGAGGCGGAGGCAAGCGTTTGTGTGGAGGGAGGGAGGAGGGGTGGAGCCAAGAGGCAAGAGAGGCCAGAGCAAAGCAGGACCACGTAGCCCTCACCCAGGAGCTGGGATTTTGTCCTGACAGTGAGGAGTCAGTCACACAGGAAGGGAACGTGTTTCAGAAATAATGCTGTGGAGGGTGGTGGGTGGTGGGAAATGGAGAGAAGCCAAGGATGAAGACGCTAGCGAGGACCAAGT